CGAAACGTTTACATGCTAGTTCTAATATCGTAGTCATACGCTTAGAATCTATACACATAAGGTTTCCAGATCCGGTCGGCAATAGACCATAGATCCGAACAAATAATATCATATATGGAAAACATATAACATTTAGCACCTAAAAGCATTTTAGGCATCATTCCTAAAATAACTAGTGCTTGTGTCAATTTAGGTGTATTACCTAACATATTTTAGACATACTCCTCATAATCATTACTTAGCATTCTAAGTTTAAGTCTATAAATTTCCTACAAATTCCTAGTTCGCTTAAACTAATGCTCTGATACCAACTGTGACATCCCCAAATTTAACGGCCAAAAAAGACCGATTTGTTTATGCTTTGTTTTATAAATCAGAGTAATCTTTTAAAGAAAACGGTTGTGGAATTTGTCCCAAAACAAAATAAGATAACCTTTTATCAAAACATTTCTCAAAGAGAATGTATTTTCATTAAATAATAAAACCTCGGGATGTCATGTTCCGATACAGACACATAAGCATAAACAGAACATACATTTATTTACTCTAGTGATTTACATCACCTTTAATCTATCAGTGCAAAGCAGCTTTGTATCGACACCTGTGTACAATTAAACTGAGTGGGTCAAGCTTGGGAACCTGGTGAGCATATAGGGTTTTCAACCCACAATATTATATCATATTAATATATAGAACGTCCAAATTTATATAATTTCACCATATAAAAGCAACTCTTCTCCCACCCCCATCGATCCTCACAACGACACGATCTAAACTCTCGTATCTAAACTTTTCCTCTTTATCTGATCCCTACTCACGGATCTAAACTAATCTCTCCACCTGATCCATACTCTCGGACCTAAAACTAACCTCTTGGTCTAATCCATACTCCCGGATCTAAACTAATCTCTTGGTCTGATCCATACTCCCGGGTCTAAAACTGTGCCCAATCCATACTCCCGGACTAGGGACAATTTACTATATCTAAATCATGTTCTGATCCATACTCTCGGATCTAAACTGTGCCCAATCTATACTCCCGGACTAGGGACAATTTACTATACCTAAATCCTGTTCTGATCCATACTCCCGGATCTAAATTATGCCTAATCCATACTCCCGGACTAGGGACAATTTACTATGTCTTAATCCATACTCCTGGATTAATAACAAGTTTATCTCTTTTCCTATTCCATATTCTCGGATCTAAATCCAATCTCTTGATCTAATCCATACTCACAGATCTAAAACTAACCTCTTGATCCGATCCATACTCACAGATCTCATCTACCCATGTCCAACCCAACATATTCGTAGACACAAAATATATATGCAGTTTAACTCATTAAAACCTATATAGTTCATCCATTACATACTCATCTCAAATAAACAAACAATATATAAACACATAGCATGTATTTCATAGCAAATACTTCATATATATGTGTTAGAAGAAAGTGATCACATACTCACCCAAAACATATACTTAATACATTCAAACAATACTTGTATTATAATTGTGTTTATGAAAGGGACTATACACTCACTTGATCAGAAGATGATCGGGCAGCACTACGGCTCTTCAAGTAGATATTCTTCGGTGAAACCGGGATATCTTCACACACCCGGCTTCTTGCAGGCAGAGCTTCGGCTCGGAAACTCTTTCTTTTCTCGAGATCTTCGGGCTTCAGGACTTTCTTCGAGTCTCGGGATGATACCGGGGCTTCGGGGTTACTTCTTTACATGTAAATCGATGCAATACGAGTGAGAGATGAGAGAATATGAAACCAAACTCGACTGGCCCTTCAAATCTGTTTATAGGGAAAATTTTGCCCTTGCCACGTCGTAGCACCTTTTCCACGCCGTGGGCTTGGTCGTCACTGCATGCGGCATCGCAAGTTGCGTCTGGGGGACTCCCGAAGGTTTCAGAAGACTTGCCACGTCGTGGTACTACTTGCCACGTCGTGGTATCTGACAGTTTTGGGGTTTCGCACCCCGAACTTCAGAAATTCATAACTTTCGCATGCGAACTCCGTTTTCGACGTTCTTTATATCGACGCGAATGTGAGATTATGCTCTACAACTCCCATTTAGACTCCATTGGCTAATTTTGACTTTATTTTTAATATATTATAGTTATATTACTTTTATATTATTTTAGTAGGCCGGGACAGAAAAACTCCGTTATAAACTCATAACTCCTTCGTCTGACGTCCGTTTTTGTCCGTCTTTCCGTCGTTGCACTACTATCGTTGAGATCTTCAATTCTCATTTAGATTGTTTCGGATAAATATCTCTCTAACGTAAATTCACTATTTACATCGCGTTGTGACGTGCCGGTTCTTTCGCGAAACTTCGACAGGTCATAACTTCTTCGTTATATGTCGGATTTTTGCGTTCTTTATATGTACGAAATCCTTGTAACATATACTATAACCTAGTTAAGATTAATCCATCTAAATAATCTTCCATCAAAAAGTCATTTTTAATACTTATGGTTTCTAAATTGACTAGCCCTGATCTACGGACGTTACAGAAAGGATGGTAGGCTGATTAAATGGAGAGGAGGGAGGAGAGTAGTCATGGATATTTGTTGGACAATAATCATTTGCATGGATGTATGTAGGATATAACATTGTTATTTGTGATGTATTATTGAGGTGGCATGCATATAAAATTCCTCCCTTTTTCTCTTTATTTATTTATTTTTATTTTTTTGTTTAGATGGACTAATCCGAATTTAAGGATTTCTTGGCCCAAAATGATTGGTTTCAAGTTTCGGGCTTGGCCTAAAAGAGTTCTTGGTTCTTTAAGAAGTTTTCGGCCCAATAGAGCCCAAAGGAGGGGTTATCAGTCTGTTTGAGCCCATTAGGAGATTCTTGGTCCAATAAGGGTATTGGGTTGAAAATTTTTAGGCTCTGGCCCGAAATGATTAAATTTGGCTTATTGGATCGAGTTTTAGGTTTGAATCCTAATATATGAAAGTATGAACTTAAATGGCATCTTAGCTAGAATTTTTTTCTAGATGGGACCTTGTAAGTTTACATGAAGGAATCATCTTGTACACGGATTAAGATCTAACCCTAATTTGCTAGTTGTGACAAAGACGATCATGTGGGTGTGTGTATGTGTGAGAGAGAGACGTGGTTTTTTTAATTAATAAATATTAAAAAATATATATAAAAACAAGAATGAAAAGGCATTTTAGTCTTTTATCTTTTCTAAGGAACCAAAATCAAACGGACCTCAATCAAAAAAAAAAATGCATACCATAGTGATTATTTTTACGGTTTTGCCTTTAAAAAATCAATTGTTGATATATAACATCCAGGGCCTGAAGACGATAGGCGATAGGGCCGACACCCAAGGACCATCTTTCTAAAGGGCCCAATTTTTTATAGGATATATAATATTAATATAATCATTACTTTATTTTTAAAAATAAAATAAAATAAAATAAAATAAAATAAAAAAAAAAAAAAAAAAAAAAAAAAACCTATAGAAAGTGAAACCGTCAAATTTGAATGCCCAAATTTGATACCTTATTAGAAGCAAAAAGAAAACAATATCATACATATAATAATGGTTATTCATAAATAAGGTGGTAAGTGCAACCAAAATGGGGTAAATCGAATCAACAGATTCTAAATTGATGTCCTATGAAGAAATCAAGAAACGATAGAATGGACAATAATAATCGCATTGCATATAGAATCATATTAATCAATCTTGTGATTGTAGCATCCGTAAAGATAAGTTTTTCAAAATTGAAGTGATTAAATAAATAGTTTATCGACGTCAAAGGAATATTGAATGGTTTGACTACTTTATGTATGGATAAATATATGCTTGACAATTGATCTTTATTCTATTTTTTAGAACGTCGAATAAAATCGATTTTCTTGGATTCAAACTCATGACCAGTCGGATAGAAGGGATACAACACTAAATCAATGTTATTTTAACGTGATAGTGTTATTAATCACTTTGTATCTAAAAAACTACAATAAACATTTTCCTTTAAATTAGTAGATTTAGAAGGAAAAAAAAAAGTTATACTCATTCCTTTAGGGGATTTTTTATTTTCTCGCACATGGATTTGAAGGTTTTTTTAGTTAGATAAAACCAACACATAATTTATCTTCATCATTCAGAAAAATAATGACAAAATAAATTTTGAAATACATAAAAGTTTTTTAGTTCAATAAAACCGACACAATTAATCTTCATCATCCAGAAAAATGATGTTAAAATAAATTTTGAATTACGTAAAAGTAATTATATTTGGGTTATTTTGTAGTTTAACCATTATCGACGATGGTAGTCACTCAAGTTCAACAAATTTTTCTATATCGACCGGTTTAACATGCTATAACAGGTTAAAATAGTTACAATAAAATAAGTCAGTTTAATAGTTTTAACCAAAATTTTATATTTTTTTTTGACCATTTTAAAATGTCTAGTATAGAAAAAATTGTCAACTTAGATAGACTTTTATCAACAAAACCAAAATATAATTATTAAACCACAAAAATAACCAAAATTTAATAGTTTTTTTGTATTTTATCTTATTTTGTTTTTTTTTTTTTTTTTGAAAGAGATACTTGTTTTTACTTTTCCTAACAAATAAAACTTGTTTATCAAAAAACCATGTTCTAGACCATCTTATCAAAAAACGAATTACAAAAGTAATAACATTCCACAAGTTACACCATCATTAACATAGAAATCCATCAATGACCAATATTGAGTTCGATATTTTTTATCATCCGAACACTAACTAGAATAAAAAACCTTGATGCTCATTTGAACCTTTTTGCAATTGCAGATAATAATCTTTTTCAAGTTAACAAATATAGAATAATTTTAAAAAAAAAAAAAAAAGGATCACAAAACCCCCCAAAACATATATAATTCTTCCTATCCAACCCTCGACACTAAAACACTTCCATTTTTGTTTTTTCTAACCAAAGATTCAACAAGCATCAATATGACTTCATCTAAACAAACTTATCTATTCTCAACGCTTTTTTACTATTTGAAGGCCGAAACTCCTCCACACGAAGATTAGACTCTTTCCGAATTCCACTCAAAAACTGATTCCCTTTTTCCACTTCAATCATCTCCAAAATCACCCCCACCACCTCCGCCGCCAGTCCCACCTCCACCAGCCGCCCTGGCTCCTCCCCCCCTTCATATATCAGCCGCCACACCTCCTTATACGGGACCACATTTCCTATGAGCATCCTCCCGATGATCCTCCCAAGATATTCCGCTGCTTTCGGAGCATCATTCACTGAGTCTTCTAACGCTCCAAGAACCGATTCCAATCTACAAAATTGATAAAAATATGTCAAAAGGATTTGGAAATCTCAAAGGGCAAAATAGTCATTTCAAACTTACCCTCGAACAAGCGAGTCTTGATTTAGTATTCCATCTTGAGATTTTCCAAGATTCACAAGAAGCTTAGCGAGTGAATCCCGATCCACTTCTTTCCTCTCGAAAGAATCATTCACCCAAATCGATATCATCGAAGGGTAAAAACTCGGTGCATTCAATTCCTTTACACACATCGCCACTTCCTTCTCATCTCTCGCACTGCAAAATTACCAAAATACCCCCATCATTACTTCACACACAAAAAAAAAAAAAAAAAAAAATACAATTATTACATTACCTATAAAACTCTTTAATCGCCTCCATTGACATATCACGTAACCGTTCTTCCGGCCACACCTTATCTTGAACGGGAGCCGGGACCCACACTCGAGCCGAAGGCGAGTCATAACCCGGTTGACTCGACCCGTTCGGACCAACCGGGACCCGTGGACTCGGACTCGGTTCGGGTTGGTGGTGGTGGTTAGGGTGACCCCTAACCGACATCCCTCTAGCTAACCCACCTTGTGGGCCAAGGGTAATTCCGTCATTTTCACTCATCGGTCTCAACGGAATCGACAAAGTCCGGTTTTCAAAATCAAATCTCGCATCCTGGTTATACCCGCGACCCGGACCCATCCCGCGAAAACCCGAATTCGGAGACGGTAACAAATGGCCTTGACCCGGACCGGGTCCGACCCGGCGGGTGGAAGAGTTGAAACTCGGCCCGCGGGCCAAACGGGTGGACTGGGCGTGTCGTTCTTGGGCTGCGTCTCGGTGTACTTCATCGATTTTTTTGGGGCCTTCAATTTTTCTTCTTTGTTGCCATTTGTTTTTTCTTAAGTCAATTACGTCTTTTAACATGAATCTGACACGTGAAGAAAGTTTCATGTTGTTTGATAATCTCAACATTGTGTCAAAATACACGTCGATGTGTTCTTTAGTACGTGGATGATCTATCATTACTCCAATTGTGCTCATTAATTTGCATAATGATTCGATATCTTCTTCATCGGGATTCTGATTTTGACTCTGATATTGACCTAATAATTTCTTTATACATTCATGCATGATTCTTTCAGTCAACATTTTTTTTTTATATAATTCACCGATTAATCTTATATTCCCCAACATCCGTCTTCTCGCTTTCACTCTCTTCTCTTCTCTCTCCTCTTCACTTTGCTTCACTTCACCTTCTTCTTCAGTTCTATTCGCCTCTTGTTCTTCACGTTCACCTCGTTCAAATTCCTCTTGACATTTATTCAAAAGTAATCTTTTAAAAGTGATTTTCTCATTATCTTCACTAAAATCAGGTAATTCCACCGATAATCTAGAACAAAAGTTGGCGTACATTTCGCAAAAAGTGGGCTCCATTAATGCTTTATCAAAAATCTGATTAATTACACCCGATAAAGTGTTGGCATTATCAATGTTGACTTGTTTGACTTGTTCAAAAAGCTTCTCGAAGTTTTGAGGTGTTAATTTGTTCAAAATTCCCTTTAATTGTCTTTGTTTAGCTTGTTCTTCATCTGTTACTTTCCCCACTTCGTATTTTCTCTCAGCTTTATGCATCACTTGCATTGGAGTGTTTGGAGACGGGATTAACCCTCTTTGATTATTTCCACCACTCACACGCTGCCACCTGTCCGAATCTGAGTTGTTCCTTTGCATGACACCTGGTGACTGCAACGGGCCCGCCAAGATCCCGCCGGAAAACACCGGCTGGGCCCGCGGGTTTCTCAAAACACCGCCATGAACCGGCCTAAATCCTGGGACATTTCCGGTGAAGTTCATACCCGTTTGCCCTTGTTTACTCCACCGGTCATCATGCCCGACGTTACTCGGGCGGCGGTCAAGTGTCCGGGCAGCTGCCCGAGGCTCCCGGGCAGCAAGATTTGACATCACCGCCTCGGCTATATCGGGTGTGAGCTCAAACCCTAGAGGGAGTTCGTTACATTGTTCAGAGAATTTTAGTAAGAAATCTCTTGAATACTTTTTGGATAATCCTTCATTCTCAATTGTTTCAAGCTTAGGGGTAGAAATGTCCGCAGCATCTTCCCAATCATCAGGCTCAAATTTGTTGACATGTTTTTCTTTTTCATCAATATCTTGATTTTGAGGTATTGAAGAGGCTTCTTCTAGGGTTTCAGAACATGGGGCTTCTTTCTTTTCTTCTGGACCTTTGTATGCCATGTAAAGATCAGATGTTGTCCCTTGAGCATCTGCAAATTTCAAAATATCCCTTCTTTTCTTTTTTGATTTAGATATGTTAAGATTGGTATTTGTATTTGTATTGGTATTTGTATTACCAGTATTGCCCTTGGCCTTTGTGGAATCGGGTAAAGATGTATCCATTGAAGGCACTAAGTTTCCACTTTTCCCCATAACCTCTTCAGGGGCAGAAACGGAAATATCACCTTCAGAAGAAGTTTCAGTGTTGAGAACTTGAATATCTGATTTCAAGATTTGATCATCACTGTTGTTAGTGTCCTCCTCATTGGTGGGTAAAATCGAATCTTTTTCTTGTTCTTTTGACTCCAAAGATTCGACCTTTGGTTCTTGAATTTTAAGGGGAATTTCAAGATTTGTCTCACTGATGACTTTTTCACTAGAGTTTACACCTTCTTCACTAGCATCTACAGGGACCACTTTCTTGGTGGTTTCTGAAACCTCCTCGTTGACTTCCATGGAAGGAGTTGACTTTAATGCTTCTGAAGAACAGCTTGAAACAGTATCTACCTGAATATGACAAATTACAAAAGGTTACAATATAAACACAACTACTCCAAAAAAAAAAAAAAAAAGTACCTTATTTTCTGGATTTATCTCTTCTTTAACAGAATCTTCAACAGAAGTGGTTGAATTCTCAGATTGGAAAGAACCAAATGTGGAATTAGAAGGTTTAATTTCAGGGTTCTTTTGTGAATGAAGAACAGAAGCTTCCAGATGTCTTCTTTTGACAAGGTCATTTTTGTCATTAACAGGGACACTACCTAACAAAGATGACTCACTGACACTAACCTTTTCATGTACTGCTGGTTTCACTGTGACCTGATTATAAAACCTTGATGACTCACTATTGGGTGGTTGGAAGAAAATAGGGTTAGGGTTAGGGTTAGGGTTAGGGTTAGGGTTAGGGTTAGGGTTATAAGAGTTGGAGTAAAAACTCATCGGATGTCCAGGTGGAAAAGAAAAGA